GGATGCCTGTTTAGGGATTATGAAGGCCTAATCCTCCTTTCTTATGCCCTGCCTATCAGAGTTGTGGATTCCACATTAGCTGAGGCCAAGTCTTTACTCAAAGGACTCAGAAGATTTAATCATCTTTGGAGTAGAAAGGTGTAGGTAGAGGGTATTCCAGCAACACTATCGCTTGGGCTTCTTGCAATGCCCCTTGCCCTTGGAGACTAGATAACATTTTTGTAGCAATTGGCCACATCTGTAGCAGTATCCTAGTCTCTTGAAGACACACTCGTAGGAATAGTAACGTTGCGGCAGATGCACTAGCAAGGGAGGGAGCTAGTCTCAACTATCCCCAGGGGAATTTGGACCCCCCTTAGCTCTCACCTCATTTTTGGATCTATTGTCGAGATTCTCGGACCCTCAAGGGCTCCTGTATAGGGCCCCCATTTTTGGGGATTGCCTAATTTTTGTTTGTAATTCTCTATACAATCAATACAAAAGTCAACTTTCTCAAGGAAAAAAAAGAAGGTTGGTTGACTAATGGGAAACATGTTGATTTATTGCATTCGGGATTTATGCCTGGAGGATTCATCAGAAGCTTCAAAACTTTTTAATACTAGAACTATTTGGTTTCTGTTCACTTTGAATTTGGTCGAATTTGGTTAACTATTCATATTTTTGCCTCTTCTTATCAGTTTTTTATTTCTTGTGAGTTTTGTTTGGTAGGGGGAGGGTATGTGTGTTTGTGTGTGTGTGTGCATGCAAGAGAGAGAGAGAGAGAGAGAGAGAGAGAGAGAGAGAGATTCATAGATGATATGAATTGCATCTCAAGACATTTATATTTTAGTTGACTTGGGATTTGATTTCTGCCCATAATATGATGGCAAACTGCAAATAGAACATTTGTGAGTATGAAACTTTGGGGTTAGTCATTATTTTTAAAATGGACCACAAAAGTATATATAGCCATTAAATATGGAAAATGAGGCTTTATGTACTGTTTGTTTGCCTTTTGCTAGCTGCATTATAGATATTTGTTGTTTGTTTTGTTAAACAAAGTGGTTTCTCAGTTATCTCTATTTTTAAATCAATGTAATTTTTTGTAGGTGGTAGAGCTGGGATTTACCCTAGCAGCACTTGCTCAGGTTTGGCGCAATGCCACGTTGGATGAAAAGAACAATAAGTTATGCTAGCATTGGAGGCCTGGCTGTTCAAGCATTTCAGGCATAATTTCAGCTTTCTGCAAGAGACTTGGTTGCTGGCTGTACATGTACTATTTAATATTGTTATTCTATGTTGTTGATCCCCTTAGGCTAGAGGAATACCTAATAACTGATTAAAGCTCAGTTCATGAAATTTTGGAATTCTCTGTGTATTGCTATCTCTGGTGGTATTTGCCATTATAAGTAATCTCTTAACTATTTATCACCATTTCCTCCCCTCTCTCTCCACCCTTTCTCTATGCAATCCTAGGCTTGCAACCTCTTCCTCCTTCACCCCCTCTTTGTATGCCCTCCCCAAACCTCATTAGTCCACCTCACCATTTTCCTACTAATTCATCTCCTCCTCTTCTCTCCTCCCATGTACCAACTTTGCTGCCACCATTTTAATATCACTAGATAGTCTCATAACAGTCTTCTTGACATCATGTTGGAAGGAGCGGAGTTCAGTTGGTCTAGTCATTCGGCTAATCCAAGCCTCTCAAATTTAGATAGATTTCTAACCCCTCTCGAGTGGGATCATGAGTTCCCTAGCACCCACACTCTGGTGCTTCCCAAGCCCGCCTCAAATCATAAACCTATCCATCTAGATACCCTGTCCATTCCTCCAGGGCCTAAGCCTTTTCGCTTTGAGCTGTCTTGGCTCTAAGAGCCCAGCTTCCCCACTCCTGTCCATAACCATTGGGAGTCCTTCTCCCCCCTAGTGAATGGGTGGGCCGGTTTTGTCTAGTAGAAAAAGCTCCAAATGCTCAAAGTTTTCCTGAAATCATGGAATTCACAGTTCCCTGGGAACTTCTGATACAAAAAAGTGTCCCTTTTGAGGTCTATTCAACATTGAGACTCCATTGAAGAACTTAGACCTCCCTTCCCTTCAGCTTAATTCTCGATCCATCCACGAACATGATTACCAGTTCCCCCTAAAGACAAAAGAAATTTATTGGGCTCAATGGGCCACAGTCAAATGGCTCAAGTTTGGAAACCAAAATACAATTTACTTCCACAAGATAGCCAACTGTCGAAGAAGGGAGAACTCTATTACCCACTTCAAAGTGGGGGACCAGATTGTTGACCATCCCAATCTCATGAGGCAGTGGCTGTCGAATATTTTTCCAAGCTTTTCTCTTCCCCTTCTGGTCCTAGGCTAGTAATGGCGGACTTCTCCTTCTCTTCTATTTCTCATGAATGTGCGGTCTCTTTGGAAAGCTTTTTTTAAGAATACAAAGTACTCCAAGCCATTAAAGCTCTGACAGCTTCCCCATAGCCCTCTTCAAAATCTTTTGGGATAACCTTAAGACTGATATCATAGCCTTCCTTTCTGAATTTCACTCCCGAGCTACTATCCATAAGGCGATGAATGCCACTTTCATTGCCAGGATCCCCAAGAAAGAGGGAGCAAAAGAGCTTAAAGACTTCAAACCCATTAGTCTGATTAATACTTCCTACAAAATTCTCTTGATGGCTTGGCTTCCCGCCTTAAACGTGTCCTTGGTCAGGATCTTATCGTCCCAAGGGATATTTGTGAAGGAACGTCAGATTCTCGATGGTGCTCTAATAGCACACGAGTGCATCCATTCCGGCTGTAGTGCAAAAATCCCAAGCTTGGTAATCAAAAAGCTTGTGTTGATGAGACTTTGTCCAGAATGCCATTTGGCTCTCTATGGTGAAGATGGATCCTAGGGTGTATTTCAAAACCCCAATTTTTGGACCTTATTAATGACACATCTAAGGGTTACATTCATGCTTCACCGTTCCTATTTGCCAAAGTGGCTAAGGTGTTCAGTGCCTCACTATCTTGTGTGTACAGCACCAGATGCATTTAGGGTTTCCAAATGGGTAGGTCGGGTCTCTTTATAGTCCACCTCTAATATGTTGATGATACCCTCCTTTTTTGCGATACGTTTTTAAAAAAGTTTGTAGTTTATTGCTCTTCCTCCAATGCTTCAAGTTGGCAACGGGCTTTAAGGTGAACCTAGAAAAAACTAAGATGACAAGAATCTGCCTTTACCAAGCCATAGTCAAATGCTTCGCTGATTCATGGGGATATGTTGTAGAGCCAATGCCCTCATCCTATCTTAGCCTTCCATCTTGCATTGGCCTTCATTGAATCCAGTTATGGAGCCTGGTTGTAAACAAAGTCGAGTGGCACCTGGCTTCATGGAAAGGGAGAGTCTTTTCACCAAGCTGTACAGTGAAGAAAGTCAAGCCCAAGCACGAGAGCTTATAAATGTGGAAGTGTCTATCAATGGAAAACCTTAAGGCTATGGTAGACACCGAGGCTACACACAACTTTATGGCAGATCAAGACGCACACCAGCTGAACCTCAGTGAAGGTACTGGATGGTCTCTCACTAAAATCAAATACTTGCGGGCATCATTCAGCCTCCTTTCAAGGGAAGGGAGGCCTGAACTTTCCGCGCTTCCTCCCTCACTTACCCCTGACAACAAAGCGAGAATTGAATCAATTACTCGTTTCAGTCAGCTTGCTCTCAAACTAGCCGTACTCGAACCGACCTCATAGACACGATGAAACACGATTCCTTGTTCACCTCCTCCCCACCCGCTTTGCTACTCCCTTGCTACTTTCTTTTGTCTGACCGGTAACCCTTCCTCTTCGGTGGTAGAAAGCATTACTGGTCCACCTATTGGGAGATCTTGGAACCCAAATTTCAAAAGACTCTTAGTTGACAACAAGCTTCACCAGTTTTTGAATCTCTCGGTGTTGCCCGATTCGATATTTTTTCTCCCACATGCAATGACAAGATGGTCTGATCCCCCTCTCTATCAGGTTCATTCACAATTGCTTCATTTTACTGAAGCTTATACTCCTTGCCTTCTCCTCCCCTCTCGGCCTTTCCGTCTATAGCCACCAAGGCTTGGTGCTTCGTTTTGCCCTCAAAATCCAGCTTTTTACTTGGATAGCACTCCATCAAAGGGCTTCGACACTCGATCAACTACAGCTTTCCTAATAGATGCACCATGTGCCTCAAAGCTGAAGAAACCAATCAACATCTATTTCTAAATTGCGGTGTTGCCTTGGCCCTTTGGACCGACCTTCTTCTTCTATCCAATTGGCTGTGGGGCATTCCCCAATCGATCCCTCACCTCTTCTCCTTATGCCTTAGAACTCCTAGGAAAATTTCAAGAACTCTTCTATGGAGAGCTTCCATCTCAGCCACTCTTTGGACCACTTGAATTGAGAGGAATAATAGGATCTTTCGTGAGGAGAGAGCCTCTGCCTCAGCGCTTATTGAAAAAAGGAGGTCACTTGTCACAGTCTGAGACCTAAACTCCCAAGCTTCTCCATCTTCTCCGTTTTGGATCTTCACCAAATTTGGCAAGCGTTGCTGCACCTAAGTACCCACAGGATTCTTCAAGCTTCTTTATGAAGGACACTGGAACCTGGGGCCATATGATGGCTGCTCTCTAGGCAACCCGGGCCCCTCGGCCATTGGATGCCTTTTAAAGAATTTTGAAGGCTCCTTTTTTATGCCATGCCTATCGGAGTCGAGGACTCCACATTCGCTGAGGTCAAGTCTCTACTCAAAGGACTCAAAAGATATAATCATCTTTGGTGCAAAAAGGTGTAGGTAGAGGGTATTCCAGCAACACTATCGCTTGGGCTTCTGGCAATGCCCTCTGCCCTTGAAGACTAGATAACATTTTTGTCAAAATTGGCCACATTTGCAGTAGTATCTAAGTCTTATGGAGACACACTCATAGGAACTGTAACGCAACAGCAAATGCACTAGCAAGGGAGGGATAAGTCTCAACTATCCCTAGGAGAATTTGGACCCCCCTTAGCTCTCACCTCATTTTTGGATCTTTTGCAAAGATTCTCGGACTCTCAAGGGTTCCTGTATAGGGATCCTATTTTGGGGAAATCCTAATTTTTGTTTGTAATTCTCTATACAATCAATTCAAAAGTCAACTTCCTCAAGGAAAAAAAGGAAGGTTGGTTGACAAATGGAAAACATGTTGATTTATTGCATTTGGGTTTTACGCTTAGAGGATTCATTAGAAGGTTCATAACTTTTTAATACTAGATCTTTCTATTTGGTTTCTGTTCACCTTGAATTTGGTCTAATTTGGGTAGATGTTCATATTTCTGCCTCTTTTTGTCTGTTTTTTATTTCTTGTGTGTTTGTTTGGTGAGAGGGGGGGAAGGTGTGTGTTTAAGATAAAGAGAGAGAGAGAGAGAGAGATTCATAGATGATATGAATTGCATCTCAAGACATTGATATTTTAGTTGACTTGGGATTTGATTTCTGCCCATAATATGATGGCAAACTGCAAATAGAACATTTGTGAGTGATACTTTGGGATTAGTCATTATTTTGAACAGGACCACAAAAGTATAAATAGTCATTGAATATGGAAAATGAGACTTTATGTATTGTTTGTCTGCCTTTGCTAGCTGCATTATAGATATTTGTTGTTTGTTTGCCTTTTGCTAGCTGCATTATAGATATTTGTTGTTTGTTTTGTTAAACATGGTGGTTTCTCAGTTATCTTTGTAGGTGGTAGAGCTGGGATTACCCTAGCAGCACTTGCTCATGTTTGACACAATGCCATGCTGGATGAAAAGAACAGTAAGTTATGCCAGCAGTGGAGGCCTGGTTGTTTAAGCATTTCGGGCATATTTTCAGCTTTTCTACAGGACGCTTGGTTGCTTGCTGTACAAGTGCTATTTAATGTTGTTATTCTATATTGTTGATCCCCTTAGGCTGGAGGACTATCTAAATAACTTATTAAAGCTCAGTTCGTGAAATTGGGGATTCTCTATGTGTTGTAGTCTCTGGTGGTATTTGCCGTTATAAATAATCTTGTAACCATTTATCACCATTTCCTCTTATTCTTTCCCTCCTACTGTGTATGTGATTAAAGCACCTATTCATTGTACATTCTCTCATATCTATATTTTTTTCAGCTCTTTTATCCCATTATTCCCCTCTCCTTATCCCCAGCATCTAGAGCAAACCATATCCATATTGCTGATATTACTTTGTAATTGTGCAAGCCTCTCTCTCTCTTTCTCTCTCTCCCCCTACACGCCGACACACACGTGCATGTGCACGTGCACATTTGCACAAACAAAATGAAAAATAACTATTGCTACCCATGAAAGAAGTATTAAGCACATTTACATGTAGAACATTTGCTTCTGGGTTTTTTAGTTAAGTATATATAAAACAATAAAAAAGTATACAAAGAGACCGTTTACTTTTTGTACAAGGAGGACACAATCAGTCATGTCCCTTAGATTTCAAATTGGGTAGTTGTAGGAGTGTCATTAGATAAACTCAAAGTTTGAAAAAAAAATCTCGGACTTTGTGACCCACCCTAAGCCAACAAATTTGACATCCAATGAATAGAAATAATTGTGACACCCTTATACAAATAGTAAATGGTTTCTTTGTATATAATCCCGAGAACATTTGCTCCTTGCATGATCAATAAGGTCTGTGGATATCAATCGACAATTTGACTTGGGCATATGTGTCTCCTATTTTATCTAAATATGCCTGGGAATTTTTAAATTGTAAATACTCGTTACTCTCATGGTTGAGTGAACAATTTATATGATTATATTACCTAATTTTGATTTTTTTTTTTTTCCATGTACCCATAGCA